TTTCTAACTATCTCTCTCCCTTCCTCTCTGTAAAAAAATCAATAAAATATATTAAAAAAAGAAAAAAAAGCCTTTAAAAAAAAAAAAGAAACATTGTTGCCATCACTGCTGCTCTAAGCTCTGAGGCCGAAGCTGGCTGAAAGCAGGTATCTGGAGCTTGTTTAGCTTCTATAATTGCAACTTTGTTGCTTAGAGTGTAGCTTAGAGCAGGGCGAGGCAGGCAGGGAACGTTGGCTTCCTCTGTCACTGGAGCAAGCAAGCCTCCTGTTCGCTTCAGCTGCCTGGCTGCCGGTCACCATTTTGGTTGGCAGTTAATTTGCATATCTCTCTGATTAGCCAATGGGAAGGGTAGCAAAGTTATGGTTAATTACCATGTTTCTCTATTATTAGATAGGATTCCAAGTATATATCACTGTGAGCACTTTGTAAATTATATGAATGTCTAATCACTATGTTGTACACCTGAAACTAATATAATATTGCATATCAACTGTAATTGAAAAATAATTTTAGAAACTTTAAACACAAATAAATGAATAATGATTACAAAGAAAAAAATTTTTTAAATAAAACTCCAAGTATAACTAAGACTTACTTTTTTAGTTCTGGAATCTCTGCTGGCTTTACAATTTTTATCAACCCTTTCAGTCTCTGTTGTTCTTTCCTCAGTTCAAAAGTTCTCAGATGAAGTTTCTTCCGGGACACACCATCTAATGCACTCCCTGATTTCATTTCCGACATAAATGCATCTAAAGAGTCCTGAGATGCTGACTCAGATAGAGCTGTCAGGAAAGGGATAATGCATGTTAGAAAGATGGTTGCAAATTTTTAAAATACAGCCAAAGTCACTAACATAGAGTTGGACAAATGACATTGATATTAGGAATAAGGAAACAGGTTAGAGCTGGGAGGCTGTGGGACATCACCTTGCCTCATTCCCTTCATCTATTAAATAGAGAATTTACATTAAATAATGTATAATGTCCTTCCTAGCTCCTTAGAAAGGCTCCATATTCTGTATATCTTATTAACCAATGTAGCCCAGTGCCTAGTATAGTGCACTACATATGGTCAATACTCAATAAGTATTTGAGTCATTGCCTTACCTTTGCTTGAGGCTTTCAGTCTCTCAGAAATGTCAGAGAGTTCCCTTTCAGCATCATTCAACTTTGCCACCTGTGACGCCCAAAGTAACAGGGTTAGCAAATGTTTTTCTTCTTTCAAAATATGGTGGCTTCCTCCTCTTATTTTCACTATTGTTATAAGCTTTAAGAAGATTAATTCGAAGTCTGGTTAAATCTGTTCCTTACAGAGTTAACATTTTTCATTTGTCTATTTAATTCTAATTGAGCCCTAACCGGTTTGGCTCAGTGGATAGAGCGTCTGAAAGGTCCCAGGTTCGATTCCAGTCAAGGGCATGCACCTTGGTTGCATGCACATCCCCAGTAGGGGGTGTGCAGGAGGCAGCTGATCGATGTTTCTCTCTCATCGATGTTTCTAACTCTCTATCCCTCTCCCTTCCTCTCTGTAAAAAATCAATAAAATATATTTTTTTAAAAATTCTAATTGAATTAGTTCCTGAATTAAAGAACTCCGAATTAAACAGAATAAATGTATAGAATACAGACTTTATTTTAATCAAAATAAAAAGTTCAAGCTATTTGTTTTCAATAATAAATCAAAAGGATAAATGCTGGTCATGTTTTAAACTCTGAATACCACTTAATATAGTGAAAACACCTGCTACCTTATGATAATTTCATGAAGACTACACTGCTTAAAACTATTAAACATCAACAAGAACAAATAAAAGACTATTATCAAATAATACTCCTCAAAATTCCTTTCATGATTTTTGACTGCCAGAAACCTAAAGTCAGTTTCACCTCAGAATGTCCCAATTTGGAACTTTTTCCTTTTTCTTTTTTGTTTTGTGTGTGTGTGTGGGGGGGGGGGGGGGAGGGAGTGTAACATCATATCCAAAGAATGTTCATTAACAGACCAATATTCACCTAGAGGTGGATAGAGACTCTAGCAGCAAGCCAAAGTTTTTCCCAACTTGCATAAGACTAGTTGTTGCCATCAAATTTGCAGATCACAAACGTTATACTTCAATACCAGATTTCAATGCTATTGCTTTTGTGATTAAAATAATTTAAATACATTATTTTATTTAAAATATTAAACTACCACAGCTACTTCTATAAGTAAAACTTGCCAAGGATTCAAAGGTCTCTGGCTTCTCATCAATCTTCCCAGCCTTCTTCATTCGGTTCAGCCGTTTCTTCTCAACCAGGCCAGTCCGATCAAGAAATGTGTCATCATCACTGTCATAAAAGTCTTCATCTTCCCAGTTCTTTGCTTTCCTTTTCCGAGATACTAGAGGTAAATAAAATATATGGTAATAAAATAAGTTTTGAAAAAGAAAGAAGGCAAGTAGGTAAGCAGCTTAAAATATCACCACCTGCCCTAACTGGTTTGGTTCAGTGGATAGAGTGTCGGTCTGTGGACTGAAGGGTCCCAGGTTCGATTCCGGTCAAGGGGACATGCCCAGGTTGCGGGCTCGATCCCCAGTGGAGGGCATGCAAGAGGCAGCAGATCAATGATTCTCTCTCATCATTGATGTTTCTCTCTCTCTCTCTCTGTCTCTGTCTCTCTCTCTCTCTCTCTCCCTCCCTTTCTCTATGAAATCAATAAAAATATATATATTTTTAAAGTACTTAATAAAAAAAAATCACCATCAATTATTATAAGACAGGATTCAACAAAAGGCAAACTATATATGAAAACAAAGGACTACACCTGGGAGACACTATGCTAAGTGAAATAAAACCAGACACAAGACACATATTACGTGATCCACTTATAGCAGGTACCTATAATAGTCAAATTCATAGAGACAGGAAGTAGAACAGTGATTACCAGAGGCCAAGAGGGAAGTTAGTGTTTAAAGGATACAAAGATTCGATATGGGATGATGACAAAGTTCTGGAGATGGACAGTAGTGATGGTTGTACAACAATGTGAATATATTTAATGCCACTGAACTTTACACTTAAAAATGCTTAAAATTGTCAATTTTATGTTATGTATATCTTACCACAATAAAAAATTAAAACAAAGGGCTAATTTATTTAGTAAGCAAAAGGCTCTAAAAAATCAGTGAGTAAAAAAGGGAAGTGATAAATGAGGAAAAGGCCAATAATCCAAAAGAATATTTGAAAAAGAATAAAAGCAGTTCATGTTAAAAGAAATAAAATGATCAACAAACATTTAAAAAGATGTTAAACTTTTAAAAATTAATTTAATACAAATTAAATCAATGAAATACCACTTCTCACCTATTAGAGTAGAAAAAACATTAAAAAGTAAATAACAATCTAATGAACAAAATAAACTGATGAACAAAATAGATACAGAGACATAGAAGCATCGAACAGACTGACTAATTTCAGAGGGAAGATGGGAGTGGGGTTGGGGCAGGGGGGAGATTAACCAAGGAATTTATATGCATACTAGAGGCCTGATGCACAAAATTCATGCAAGAGTAGGCCTTCCTTCCCCTGGCTGCCAGCACCGGCTTCCCTCTGGCACCTGGGACCTGGGCTTCCCTCCAGCCGCCAGCAGGCACCTGAGACCCGGGCTTCCCCTGCAGCCCCAGCTTCGTCCAGAAGGTTGTCTGCAAGGACGTCCGGTCTAACTAGAATATTATGCTTCTATTATTATAGACTAGAGGCCCAGTGCATGAATTTGTGCATGGGTGGGGTCCGCCGGCCCACCCTGATGGGGGCCCATTGGGCCGGGCCAGCGGGGGAGAGGGGCCACGGGCGGTTGGCGAGCCGGCCCCGCCCAGATTGGGGTGTTGGGGGTCGACTGGGAGATGGGCAGGCCAGGGGGTGGAGGGGGCCGATCGGGGCCCATATCAGGCTGCTGGGCTGCCACAGTGCGCTGTCATAACCACCAGTGGTTCGGGTCGTTCTGGTCGTTCCACCGTTCTGGTCTCTGGGCTTTCATAGAGAGAGATATGCATAGCCAGGGACACAGACAATAGTGTGGTGAGGCCTGGGAGAGGAGGGTAGAGGGTGGAAGGGGATCAATGGGGAAAAAAACAAAGGGGACATCTGTAATACTTTCAACAATAAAGATACATTTTTAAGAAAAGAACCCCTCCCCCCAAAAATTTTAAGGTGTTGTAAAATTGTTTTATGGGGTGAAAAATGTTCATCATTACAGTAAATTAAAGGATTAAAGAAAAAGTATAATTCTATTACACAGAAAAAGTTTGAAGAAACAGTTTTGTCTGTAATACAGCAGGCCCGTGTATAAAGTTATTTTGTTTTAATGTTGATGGAAAAAAAAGGTTAATAACAAAACAAACAACAAAAACGGTTAATAAGCAATTTGGCAAGAGTATGAGGAGATGGACTCTCAAACAGTATGCTGGGAATGTATACTGATATAAACTTTTTCATGTTCAATCTTACATCTGTCGACATTAAAAACATATTGATCCAGCCCTAGCTGGTTTGGCTCAGTAGATAGAGCATTGGCCTTCGGACTGAAGGGTCCCGGGTTTGATTCCAGTCAAGGGCACATGCTCATGTTGCAGGCTTAATCCCCAGTAGGGGGCATGCAGGAGGCAGCCAATCAATAATTCTCTCTCATCATTGATGTTTCTATCTCTCTCTCCCTCTCCCTCTCTGAAATCAATAAATATATTGATCCAACAATTCCACTTCTAGGAATTTATACTATGAAATCAAGCATCATTATTTCTAACTGAAAATGGAAAGCCCATCAACAGGGGACTATGGTAACTATTAGTTTTTTGTCTACTCTATACCATCTTACTTCCCTTGTTATGTTAAAATTTAGAAGTGCCCCCTTTCCTGTAGAAAACTCTTTGACCAAACTATTCACTAAGAGTAAAGCTAGAATAATTATATTTTCAGAATGAAGGGTTTAATAGTTTACTTGCCACATATCTTTTCTTTTTTCAGGAATCCACTAGGAGATGTCCACCAAAACAAGAGAGCAAACCAAGAAAAATGAAAAGATGTGAAATCCATTGAAGACTATCATCATCCATGCCCTCGACTGTTGTATCTTTTTAACCTGCCGAAACCACGGAAGGATGTGTCCCACTAAAACAAAGGAGTAAGCCAAGAAATCTGAGCATATGAGAATCAAGAAACAGAAATTCCAACCCCAGAGAGAGAGGAAGGGAGAGATAGAGACAGAGAGAAACATCGGTCAGTTGCCTCTCCTATGCATCCCAACTGGGGATCAAACCCGCAAGCTTTTTGGTGCCCAGGATGATGCTCCAACCAACTGAGCCACTTGGCCAGGTGCCAGTTTTTAAAATGAGATAAGCAATGTAATGATGTGGATAATTTCCACAACACATTCTTATGTTAAAAAAAATAAATCACAAAAGAATATAAATAATTTAACTGCATTTGTGTAAAAGTGTTTGTTTTTTGTTAAAGGATCCAGTTCAAAACACACATCTGTATGCAGAGAACATGTCTAAAAGAACATAAACAATGGCTACCTTAAGGTTTGAGGTAGAGAATTTTTTCTTCTCACTTCATTGAAGTCTGTACAATTTACATTTTCCCCCTAAAAAAAGGTTTTATCTTTTATGTTAAAATTCCCTTCCCTCTTTCTTTTCCTTTCTTTCTTTTCTTTTTTTTTAACCATTTGCACACCATAAGCATCTATAGAGGCAAGCAGCAGACTTTTTAAATTCAAAATATCGTGGCAGTTAACTGGTTAAGAAAAAAGTGTTCCTACTCACCTGCCTCCTGCCGCAGCAATCCCAAAGTATCAAGGATTCGACAAGCTTCCAGTGAACACTGGATCATTGCTTCTTTTTTCTTTCCTAAGTGAATGGCCTCAGCCACCAGCTGTTTTCCAGTTGAATCATCCACGGGTAATCTGCATTGGTTTAGAGGAAATTATAGCACAGCACTAAGCTCCAATCCTCACACAAAATAATTAATATTTTATGGTAATAGTCATGTTTTTTAAGATGGCTTTTCAAACTCTCGGTTCATTTTGTTCTATCTTGCCACGGTTAGATTTCGAACCTTTTCTTTCCACCTCTTACCCATTCCACCCCACCCCTCAATAATATAAGTGTTACTAAACTATCAAGACCCCAAATCAGGAATAGCCTAAAATTAAAACTAAAGTTACTCTTTGAATTGTTATCTATAACCATAAATTAAACCTGAAATTGTCCACTTTCCAGAAATGGACATTAATGAGAAGAGAACATACCTCACCCTGCAGAGCCAGGTGCTATGTCCCTGCTCATCAAATTCATATTCTAATTCTTCTCCTTTGGGAGAAAGGAAGACAAGACAATTTTAACAGGATCTGAAAATTACTAGTTGATACAAAGGGAAAAGAGAACAAAAGTTAAATAAGAATATCAAGTTCCCCTACTACACTGAGAACTAAATTTCAAAAGCATCTCAGCCCTCATTCCTAGGAACTATTGTCTGATAATAAAGTTAGGATGAGCTTGAAGCACAAAAAAAGCAAACTCAAATCAAAACAATCAACTCTCACCCTGACTGGTTTGCTCAGTGGATAGAGCATCAGCCTGCGGACTGAAGGGTCTCAGGTTCGATTCCGGTCAAGGGCATGTACCTTGGTTGTGGGCACATCCCCAGTAGGAGGTGTGCAGGAGGCAGCTGATCAATGTTTCTAACTCTCTATCCCTCTCCCTTCCTCTCTGTAAAAAATCAATAAAATATATTAAAAAAAAAAAAAAACAATCAACTCTCCATACATAGCGTTGTCCACTACATAATAGCTTTCACTTTTTTGTATAAGTTGGAGACTTAAGTTGTTAAATTGTCACAATTGCCTGGTTTCTAGAAGTATAAATAGTAAGCACAGAATGTAACCAATTCATATCCTATCTAATAAAAGAGTAATATGTAAATTAACCATCACTCCGCACAAAGATGGCAGCGCCCATAGTGGCCACGCTGCCAGCCACGCGGAGAGAGGGGAGGGGAGGGTCCTTGGGCAGGAGGCCAGGGCGAGGGACGTTAGTGTCACTGCAGGCCAGGCTAAGGGACCCGTCCCCCGCCCCGCCCCCCCCAGTGCACAAATTTTGCACTCACACACACACATATACATCTATGCATACACACACTTAGATATTCTTCAACAAATCTCTAATGCAACAATCCTCTGTGGAATTATTTTTTAAATCCTATAAAATCAAAATCCATGCCAAGAATTACAAAAGATCAGGTGAATTACAAAGAAAAAAATTACAAGTTGGCTCAATCTCCTGCCATCAAAATGTAGGATCTTTTGAGAAGAATGAGGCAAGTCAGAAAAAAAAACTTCCATTTTTCCAAGCTAAGAAAGACTAACAAGAACTTCACTATTTTCAAAATAAATGTGACACAACTGACCACAAGGGCAAGTACTGAACAAAGAAGACAGCAGATAAAATATGGCATTCTAAATACCTAAAGATCTAGAAAACAACACTGCTATGGACACATTCTAACAGGAGGGTCAGAATCTGTTTACATACCTTCTCGGTCAAAAAAACCTTGGAGAGCCTTTTTTGGATCCTTTATATAAAAGGCCTCCCTTTCCTGCTGAAACTCTAAAACAATGGGATTCTCTTCAGCCTCATCTTCTACAGCATCTTCTCCTACAGAACATGGGAGAGAAAGAAAAGACAATCATTTATAAAAAGAGACCATCTGAATGACACCCACTATCCTTTCTTCATAAAGATACAGTTATCGGTGATGAAAAGAAGAGGTGGGGGGGCAAACAACCAAAAAAACCACCAGTGTTGACATCTTCAGATTTTCTAAATTGTGTGACAAGTTACAACTTGTTTTTGTGGCCCTTCCCCTCCCCCACCCCATCACTATGTTTTAAAAGCAAAATTACCTACCACATTTTCTATGAAAAAAAAATCAAAAAAAAAAATCTAAGCTCCAGGTCTCATACTTTGCCTCCAATATAATTTCCTAATACTTCTCATATCTGTCAAATAGTCTGGTCTATTCATTATTCCCTTAAAATCATCAAACCCTGCCCTGAACACCACTCAATGCTCAGCTTCCTAAGGGATACTTTTTCTTTCCTTCAAGTCACTACTCAAAACTCTTCTGCTTATAAACTTTCCCAAAGATCTAAGTCAGTGCTGCCCAACAGAAACATAATAAAAGCCATGTGTAAATCTAACATTTGTAGTAGCTATATTAAAAAAAAGGACAAAGCCCGGCTGGCATGGCTCAGTGGCTGAGCATAGACATAGGAACCAGGAGGTCTCAGGTTCGATTCCCGGTCAGGGCACATCCGTGCAGGAGGCAGCCAATTGATGATTCTGTCTCATCATTGATGTTTCTATCTCTCTCTCCCTCTCCCTTCCTCTCTGAAATCAATAAAAGTATATTTTTAAAAAAGAGAGAAACAGGTGAAATTACTATCATGTTATCAATGTAGAAACATTATCAATGAGATAGTTTACATTCTTTTTTCATACTAAGTCTTTGATATCCAGTGTGTTTTTTGCCTTTACAGCACATGATGATTTGGACTAGCCACACTGAGTGTCCAGTAACCACATGTGACTAGTGGCTACCATGGACAGTGCAGGGCTAAGTCCCCAGTGACTGCTCTCTTCTCTGAACCCTTACTCCAGCATGGTTTCTAGATTTTATTTGGCATTTGCCACAGTAATTTCATATTTATCCTGCCCTCCCGACAGCATATTAAGGCCTTTTCTATCTTTTCATATTCCTAGCTCCCGAGTACCCATTCCTAGCTCCTCTGGCAAAGGGTCCAGCTCTCTCTAATGAGATATTTCACACTTCTGGATATTTACACAATGCACAAAATATTCAAGGTCATATCCTACATTGAATAATTTTCCATTTATGTGTTTAAATGTAGTTCCAGCCCTTTCAGTGATAAAGTCGATAATGAAAAAAATATTTTTAAATGGTAAAAACACCAAACTAATTGTATGCTAAGGGAGACTTTCCAACAAGGGAGTGAACTTGTAAAACAAATGAAAAGAAACCCATAGTGTCCATAATTCAATTGTTTTACTGCAGAAAAGTAAATGCATCTCCCTGGGTTTTGGTAACCTCGTGTGAAAATTGTATTTGTCCCATCTATCATGAAAACTTGCTTGATAAAAAAGGTCTGAGTGTAGTAATGACTTTTAAATATTAACCTCAGTAGCGAGTTTGATGTCTTACCCATTCCCCAGGTGCAGCCCATTTCGTCATCTTGACCAGCAGTATTTCTCTTGCTTTCACTGGCATCCATCTCCTCGTCTTCATCTGAGTCTTCCCCTAGCATCTTCTTCTCCAACATCATTTGCTGCTTCTTGCGCAATTCCTTCAACTGCGTGACTGTCAACTCGGACTCGGCCTCTCGGTCCTCCTCTGGTCCCTGGTGAACCAAGCGAAGGGACGCGTTTATTTAGAGTCCAGGGTCGCTGACGCCCCTTCCAGGGAGACGGCCGTGCGCTCTGCGGTCTGGAGACGAGGGGCCAGCTCCCTCCACCTTGGCAATCGCCGAGTAGGGGAATCGCCTTCCTGGGCGAAGGCTTCAGGAGCTCGGGGACCCAGCCCGCTGCGCTCCAGGGGTTCCATCCTGGGTTTCCCTACTTACCTGCAGGAGGAAGAGCCGGGTGCTGCAGCCGAAGCGAAGGACGTGCCCGACGTGGACCCGGCAGTAGGTGCGGGGCGGGATGCGGGCTTTGTTAAGGAAGGTGCCGTGGGTGCTCCCCAGGTCGTAGAGGTAGAAGCCGGGCCCCTGGCCGTCCGAGGGCCCGTCGGGGCCGCCCCCGTGCTGCAGCACGGCGTGGAAGCGAGACACCGACGGGTGCTCCAGGCACACGTCGCAGCTCGGCAGCCGCCCGAAAAGGCAGCGACTGATCCCTTTCAAGCTGCGGGTGCCGAGGATCGTGCCGCCCTTCAGGGTCTCGAGGCTGTAGGGGCCCGAGACGGGGCCGCCCCACGGCGGCTCTCGGTAAGGGGGGGCCCGGGCCGGGCCGTCGGGGGCAGGAGCCGCTGTGGGGGGCCGCGGCTTCTCCTCCGGAGGACTCCGCGTCTCCGCGCGATCCGGCCCAGCCGGGGGGACGTCGGGGTCCCCGGAATCTGCGTCCGGCAGTGCCGCGGGCCCCTCCTTCACCTCCTCAGGGTTTGAAGGATTGGCGGCCGGGAACTTGCCCCGCACCGCCGGGGGCACCGGCTGGGCTGGCTTTTTGAAGTCGCCATTGAGTTCCTGTGAAGCCGTTGCCTCGGCCAGAGGGAGGCTGTCAGCCATCCTTCATCGGGTGCAGCCTCGAAAGCTGGTCCTGGGAAACCTCACCCTCGGTCCCTACGTTCCTCCCCGCGCCCCTCTCTGCCCCTGCTCTTGGCCGCGGAGGTGCGGGTGCGCGAAGAGGTGCAGACGACAGGAAGGTCATAAATAGGAGGAAAGCAACAGAGGCGGTCGGGCGGCTGTCGGACGGGGACGCGTTTAGAGGTTGCACATCGGGTTCTAAAGACTTCCTAGGTCCCGGTTCGGAGCAGCGCTTCCGGCAGCCTCGGACCACTAACCCGTAAGCCAGCCTTCGGGGCCTGAAGTAATCCTGGCCGCAGCCCCGGAGTCGATCCGCTGCCCGGCCGCGCTCCCACGACGCGGCAGTGAATGGTGGCGCCTTCGGGCCTCCGTCCGGGACCAGCCCTCCGTCCGGGACCAGCCCTCCGTCCGGGACCAGCCCTCCCTGTCTCCCACTCCCCCGCCATCAGGCGACTCCAGGACCCTGCGCTCTGTGCCTGCGCCGGCCGAAGAGCTCCCGCGGCATCGGGGCATTCCTGGGGCTTCTTTCGGTGAAGTTAGGGGGAAAGGGCGACTTTTTAATCACTTCGTTCATTCATTAATTCGGTCATCCTTTTATTCTTTGCAAAACGAGTTCCTGAGGCAGCAGAGTGAAGTGGTTCCGAGTGCAGACTCCGAAGCCTGGCTTGGTTTCCCCCTTGGCCGTTTGTGACAGTGGGCAGGACAGGGGGCCTCAGCGTCCACACATGAAACATGGGATGATAGCAGTATCTCCTTCAGGGGGCGGTTGGGGAAATGGAATTAAACAATGAAGGCAAAGTCTGGCACATATAAGCACTCCGTAAATTGCAGATATTACCGTGAGCCAGACGCTGTACTAAGATCATGGTTTTGAGAGGTAGATGGGAGGATAACGTCAGTTGAGGTAAGTACCGGTGTAAATCCAGGGATAAATGCTGTGGTCGCACATGCAAAGGGCTGAGAATATAATGGAGGGAGATGTACAGGGGAGGTTAAGGAGGGCGGCGAGGGAAGCTGTGCTTGACAATGAGTACAAGTCCACCAGGGATGTCACGGGACTTCTGGCAGAGAAATCCCTTAAAGGGTCAGATGTGGGGATTCGTGGCGTTCCCGGGAGACTGAGAAGTGTGCTATGGTTAGAACTGAGAGGGTCCTTTCCCCCCGGAAGCTCCTCTGCACTTCCGCGGCACCGCGTCTGCGCCTCCAGAACAGCACTTCGCACATATTTTCACACAGAAATGTTCTTTTTATGCTTCTCTCCCTCGCCTCAGGTCAGGGATTTTGCCTTGGCCTTTGTCTCCTCCCATAATGCCTGGCATTTGGTACATGTTTGCTGAACTTGAAGAGACATATGAGCAATGAACCTGGAGAGCTGGGTTGCAGACAGATTTTGAACTCTCTTGAATGGAAGGCCAAAGAATTCTGACTGCCTTTTTCCAATAGGCAGAGGGAAGCCATTAACCTGAGTTTTTAAAGAGCAAGTTTAGCAGCACTGGAGAATAAATTAGACACAGGGACAGCCTGGAGGGAGTACCAGTTAGGAGTCAACAGAAATGTCTCAGGTTCTTCCCATATGTATGTCAGAAATTGAACACGTTAAGGTTACTGTTAGTACATTTCCCCCCAGGACCAGTTAAAAGTTTCCGTACCCGACGCACAGAATGAGAACCGCCTCTTCCTGTTTTTCACTCTACTCCCTTTTCTCCTGCTGATCCTGGACATACGTGTGATGATACTCTGAGAAATATTTCAGGTCTCATTTAAGTAACTGGGCTTGCAGTTTGTTCAGGATTGGGAGTGATGGTGATTCTAATGGTAAATTAGTGGAGTGAGATGGAAAATAGAGTCCCAGTTGCTGTAATCCAAATTCCACCTTGTGGTTCATTCAGCCCAGTAGGTATTATCATCATGTGTGATTTGATGACTGTCATGTAACAGTTGTATTTCTCTTCATTTCTGCAGGGAGAACATCTTTGGTCCTACAGTGTTGCTGACACTGACATTTTTCTAAGTGGTCTTGAACAGCCTACTTTTTATGTAAATAACAACTAGACTTCATATTTTCCACTTCAGAAACCTATAAGCTATAGCTGCCAGAGAGTTAAAAAACACTACTTTTAGGATATCATCTACATTTAACTTGAAAGCTCTTCTTATTTAAAAATGTTGAGATACTGGGGAGAGATACCAATCTCATCAAGCCAGACCAACAGAAGTTCCTTTGATTTGCTGCCTCGGGAGTTCCGCCTGGTGGAAGTCCATGACCCACCGCTGCACCAACCCTCCGCCAACAAGCCCAAGCCCCCTACGATGCTGGATATCCCCTCAGAGCCATGCAGCCTCACCATCCATACCATTCAGCTAATCCAGCACAACCGGCGCCTGCGCAACCTCATTGCTACAGCTCAGGCCCAGAACCAGCAACAGACGGAAGGTGTAAAGACTGAAGAGAGCGAACCTCTCCCCTCTTGCCCTGGGTCACCACCTCTTCCTGATGACCTCCTGCCTTTAGATTGTAAGAATCCCAATGCACCATTCCAGATTCGGCACAGTGACCCGGAAAGTGACTTTTATCGGTAAGTTCAGGGTTTACTACATCTTACTTTTCTCAAAACATCTTTCCAACAGCCGTGTTAAGCATGCAATAGCTTTTCCATGAGGAAACTAAGAGTCACTGACTTGGCCAAAGTTGCTCAGGTAATTAATGGGAAGTCTAAGGCTTGAATCCTGATCTCCAAAGTTTGTATTTTTTTTTTCTGATGCAACAAACATTTATTGAGTGCAAACTATGTACCATGCACTTTACTAGGAGCAAGGTACTACACTGTGTAAAACAGGCCAGTGTGGATTTAGCTCAGTGTCCTCAAATTGAGATGCAGAGAGTTATTCTGGCATTATTATTCTGGGATTTTTAAATTATTTATTTTGATAACATAGTTTAAGGAATAATAATATAAAAACATTCTTGATCCTTGCTATTCCATATCTGGTTGAAGACCAGCAGCATCTGCTTCACCTGGGAGCTTGTTAGAAATGCAATGTCAGGCCCCACCTAGACTCACTAAATTATAATCTTCATTTTAACAAATCTCCAAGAGATTCATGCGTGTATTTAAGTTTGAGAAGTCTTGCTCCAGATCCTCTGAATGACTGACTTATAACCTAGTACTGCTACTAGATGTCAGTGTGTATGTTTGCATTTGGTGCCAAATTACTACCTTTTTCTTTTCATTTTGAAATTTGCCAGACCTTCAGAAACATTTTTTTTTAATATATTTTATTGATTTTTTACAGAGAGGAAGGGAGAGAGAGAGTTAGAAACATCGATGAGAGAGAAACATCGATCAGCTGCCCCCTGCACATTTCCCACTGGGGATGTGCCTGCAACCAAGGTACATGCCCCTGACCGGAATCGAACCTGGGACCCCTCAGTCCGCAGGCCGACGCTCTATCCACTGAGCCAAACCGGTTTCGGCCAGAAACATTTAAATAACAGTACAATGAACACCCAAGTACCCTTAACCTGGATTCACCAATTGTTAACATTATGCCATATTTACTTTCTCCCATATGTGTGTGTACACACAAATACATATACACACACTTTTTTATGCCAAATATTTTAAAGTTGCAAACATCACAGTATTTCATGTCTGAATTCTTCAACTTATCCTAAGAATAAGGACATTTTCCTGCATAATCCCAGTGTTATTATTATACCAAAGTAAATGGATGCTAATTAAATGATATCATATAATAAGTCCATATTCAGATTCCACCAGTTATCCCCAAAATACCTTTTGTAGATAATTTTCCACAATCCAGGACCTAATAAAAGATTCATGTATTGCATTTTATTCTTTTAAGCGTTCAGGTCATTTGTTTTGTAGAATGTGCCACTTACTGGATTTGCTGATATTTCCTCAAGATTAGATTCAGGTTAAATTTGTTTGGCAAAAGTCTACATAATATTGTATGTATATCACTTATTGTATCTGCCTATTGATGATAATAGTACTATTTTAATTGTCACAAACTACTGAGAAAAGAACAGGAATAGACATAATACGTAAAAGTTGCAGTGTGCCAAATGGAGGCCAGATGATGTCACTGTGAAGTCTTGGGAATAGTGAATGTAGGAGGAATAACTATGTAATAACATGTATGGCACATATTCTTATAGAGATGTCCAACTTAAAAACACTTGCTCTGTAGCCATCAGTGCCATTTTGAGGGCAATTTAGTGGTAACAAAATAATACCGTCCATCATATTAAATTGATGGTGTTATTTAGAATTTTGCAGTTTGTGTCAATTTTCTAACTTTAATTGTGAAGAAGAGCTATAAACATCCAAAGTTCATACCTAGTTTGTTTTATACATATTTAAGAAGCTGTCTAACAAAAATAATTTGGATCAGTTATGGGAGTGCCAAAAGAATTATTTTCCTTTGAAAATATATAGGTCCATGTATTACTCAAGAGAAGCTATCTGTTTATTAGGCACTTCTGAGGCCTAAAGAGTTTGGCATAGATCTGGCCTGGGAAATGATGATGGAAACAGTAAATGGAAAGTTATTTGGCAGTTGGTTTTCTTATAATCCAACTATTGTGTGAATTGCAGTAGTTGCTACTGAGCAGATAATAGTAGTGGGTGGATAGTTCCTCCAGCACTCTTTGTACAGCAAATGGTGACACGTGCCAAGTACGGAGCAGGGAAGAATCATTTTCTGTATCCTATTTTTTATATTTTAACTACTTATTTACTTCCTTTGTCAAGGGGAGGCAGAGGATAGATAGGAAATCTCAGGAGACAGGTACATTATTACAGTATTGTTAGAAGTTATTTTTTAGGAGACCAGCTTTTGAAGTTTTTTCTTGGAGAGATTAAGATTTGTGCAATAGTGATTAAGTGCAATTTGTTGTATTATGAAGAACATGGGATCTGGAGTCAGAAGCTCCACATGACACTTATTAATAATACCCAGACAGCTTTTGGCAAGTGAGCCCCTCTGAACCTGTTTCCTCACCTGCCAAATAGGAATAGTAATATGGATGCTACCCATTTCACAGCATAGGAGAGGATAAAAATGCTGTGTAAGCTGTATATGTTTTGAGTTGCTTTTATAAAATTGAGTTGCTTTCCCAGTTTTACAAATGGACTGTTGCAGTTATGTAAGAATCTCCTAACTGGGACTGTAAATTTTGGAAAGGCCATATGTTGCCCAGCATGTGAGGAAACGATGTTCTAGTGAAATAACCTGAACACCATTGAGCAGTGTCTGAGCTCTACTGTTAAAGTCAATCAGATCCTAACAGTAATAAAAATTGAGCAATTGGTATAAGAAGGAAACTTCCTTTTTACTAGACACCCTTTTACACTGTTCCTTATAGGTATGTATCGCCTATTCAAGCTTTATGTAATTGGAGGAGCTCAGAGATAAGACTGTGGGTTGCTTAGACACGCCCCATCAAGCAGTAAAGGAAACTGGGGCCCTGACCGGTTTGGCTAAGTGGATAGAGTGTCGGCCTGCGGACTGAAAGGTCCCAGGTTCGATTCCGGTCAAGGGCATATACCTTGGTTGCGGGCACATCCCCAGTAGGGGGTGTGCAGGAGGCAGCTGATCGATGTTTCTAACTATCCCTTTCCCTTCCTCTCTGTAAAAAAAAATCAATAAAATATATTTTTTTATTAAAAAAAGAAAGAAAGAAAAAGAAAACTGGGCTGTGTAACTGCATAGAATTTTCCTGGAAAGCTGGGCCAGTGGTTTGATTGGAATTGTAAAACTTCTAGGGAGACAGGACAGGTCACCCTTTTGCAGGAGCACTCATAACACTACTACCGTGTGTCTGCTTTCAGTGGGAAAGGGGAACCTGTGACTGAACTTAGCTGGCACTCCTGCCGGCAGCTCCTCTACCAGGCAGTGGCCACCATCCTGGCCCATGCAGGCTTCGAGTGTGCAAATGAAAGTGTCCTGGAGACCCTAACTGACGTGGCACATGAGTATTGCCTTAAGTTCACCAAGTTGCTGCGCTTTGCTGTGGATCGGGAGGCCCGACTAGGGCAGACGCCTTTTCCTGACGTTATGGAGCAGGTATTCCATGAAGTGGGCATTGGCAGTGTGCTCTCCCTCCAGAAGTTCTGGCAGCACCGCATCAAGGACTATCACAGTTACATGCTACAGGTGAGGCGACGCCCTGGGGAACGCAGTCTAGGGTGCTCAGCAGGATCCCACAATTGCTGTAGAATGCAGAGCACAGGATCTTGGAACAGAGGACGTAACCTACTTTCCTCATGGCCCTAGATGAGACTCACTGGCCTCATCAATCACCTGGCCAAACAAAACAGTGAAGTGATACTGCCCACGGTGGGAAAGCAGGGAGAGACACCATTTTGGGTTAGAACCAGAAATATCTCCTCTCTTAACCACTGTGGCCTTATGCAAGCAATTTGATCACTGTTTCGGTTTCCCCAAACCTAAAATATCGTAAAGAATTTTTAATGCTGTGTAAGCTGTATACATTTACATATACAACAAAAAGTCTTTGCCAAGTGGTCCAGAGTTCCTATACCATTCATTACCCACCTGAGGTACATATGTTAACTGTTACTCTTTTTTTAAAAATATATTTTATTGATTTTTTACAGAGAGGAAGGGAGAGGGAGAGAGTTAGAAACATTGATGAGAGAGAAACATTTGATCAGCTGCCTCCTGCACACCCCCTACTGGGGATGTGCCCGCAACCAAAGTACATGCCCTTGACCGGAATCGAACCGGGGACCCTTCAGTCCGCAGGCCGACACTCTCTCCACTGAGCCAAACCAGTAAGGGCTTAACTGTTACTTTTATAGCCAAAAATGTGATCTTTTGTCCCATTTCTGATTTATCTCTATTTTTCACCTTTATGTAACTTTCAATTAATGACACACACACACTCTCTGCAAACAAATTTTCTTTACATGTCTATCATTTACAAATGCAAACTCAACATCTGAAGCAGATTCCTCCCATTGGCAGTGGGTGCTTTATTCATATTCTGTTGGCTTCTCCAACTTGTTTCCAACATTTCTTTGGAAAATTGTCTCTTGCTTGCCAACAGATCAGTAAGCAACTTTCTGAAGAGTATGAAAGGATTGTCAATCCTGAGAAGGCCTCAGAGGACACTAAACCTGTAAAGATCAAGGAGGAACCTGTGAGTGACATCACCTTCCCGGTCAGCGAGGAACTGGAGGCTGACCTTGCTTCTGGAGACCAGTCACTGCCCATGGGAGTCCTCGGGGCTCAGAGTGAGCGCTTCCCGTCTAACCTGGAGGTTGAGGCTTCACCACAGGCTTCAGGTAAGAGAAATCAACTTACACTTGATTCTGGGATATCTACCAATCTCAGTACTTTTTACCTTACGGAACTATACTCTGAAGAACAAAAGCAGGAAAGGGCAGAATGAAAAGTCTAAAGACAAGTACAGCTTCACTGCTCTAGAGATACCAACATTCTTCTCTTCGTAATTACAGAACAAGCATTTTTAAAATAATTCCTAGTTAGGATATGGATGTAATATATGTTGTCCTACTGTTTACAAGTTAATGACCCAGCTAGGTAGGCAGATGTCCCCTCCCTCCCTTAGTATCTGTGTTGGTCCTTCCGGTGCTTGTACTCAATTAAGACAACTTCCAGATAAATGAGGAGTGTTAATTGCTCAAGGATATTTGATAGTCGGGCTTCCTTGCTAGAGTAACGCAACAAATTGGAACTAAAAGCGCTTGCAAGGGGCTACACAGGCAGCTGGCCCCTTCTTCCAGATAGACTCCACGATGACCTTACAAACCAGGATGACTTGATCCTTAAGTCAGTGAGACTGCAATTAGTCTAGACACTTGGTTCTTTACAAATATAATTTGTCATTTCATCAATGCTCAAAGGAAGCAAACAGCGAATCCTCCAGTGTGGCATAAACAGAATTAGGCCATACTTCTTATAACTGTGTGGCAGAGCCTTTCACCATGGAGAATGCCCACAGAACAGTATTGCTAGGACACACAGAGGGCCTTGTTGCAGACTTGGGGGCCATGTCTCTTTTCAGCAGTCCATGAACTGCTAGCATTGTGGAGTGATCATTAACTTTTCATAATGAGATAGGACCAGGGACCCAAACAAAAGGCAGGAAAACAAGGCAGTCCCATTAAAGGAAGGAAGGACAAGCAAACATAACTGAGCAAGAGCCTGTGCTTGTGCCTGCCTTTGGGCCATGAGACAGGGACTCTTGCCACATGCATGCAGTTTTACTTCCCTGGTTCAGAAAAATGGGGGTGGATGAGGAAGGGTGAAGGAAGAAGTGGAAAGGAAGATCTTCAGAGTTGGTCTAACTTTTTGAAGCAGAGAATTATAACCATATTCTCCAGCCAATAGTCAAAATATAAGCTGAGCTCAAAGGCCATCAGTCTGCTCTGGGGAGGATATTTATTCTACTTTGTTCCAGCCTCGGCTTACCAGTACAGTGGGTCCTCGGGTTACATCAGAGATCCGTTCCTACGGCTCAAAGTAACCCAATTTTTGCCATAAGTCGGAACCCACCTACATAAGCACCTACGTCACTCACATGGAGCACAGACACAGCAGTAATGAAGTGAAACAGTAAAAAAAATTTAAAAGAAAGATAACAATTCCTGACCTTTACTTGTGGTAAATAATAAAAAAAACATAACGCACATATGTACATATGTCGAAATGACAGAACTTTTTTTTTTTTATAAATAAATGGGTGACGTAACCACGAAACGATGTACAGCTTGTCCGACGTGACCCGAGGACGGTCTGTAGTTATATATATGTTCTTCCATTTTTAGGTACAGAGGTAAATGCTTCCCCTCTTTGGAATCTGGCCCACGTGAAAATGGAGCCTCAAGAGAGCGAAGAAGGCAATGTCTCTGGGCACGGCGTGCTGGGCAGCGACGTCTTCGAGGAGCCCATGTCAGGCATGAGTGAAGCTGGAATCCCCCAGAGCCCGGATGACTCAGACAGCAGCTACGGCTCCCACTCCACTGATAGCCTCATGGGATCCTCCCCCGTTTTCAACCAGCGCTGTAAGAAGAGGATTAGGAAAATATAAAAGGAAAAGAGATTTCCTGTCCAAACCTACAAACCCATCAGAAAACCTGATATATTCAGATTTGTTTCCATAGCGATTTGACTCTTAAACACACTGGATTTTCCTGATTTCAGTGAAATTGGACTTAACCAAACAAGTTTGCATATTACTTTTGCATTCAGTTTTTGTAATTTTCCACACCAACCAAGCCACATTTTACAGGTATGTCATGATGCTGGGATGGTAATCAGGAGATCAGAGCACTGTCTTTGACGGCTGTCCTTGTGACTAGACCTGTTGCTTAGCTTCTCTAAGGCCATTTCTCTTGCACAACTGAGAATTGTACCACTTTGACCCATGTTGCAGGGCTGCTGTGAAGACTAAGATGCTATTAAACCTCAAAGTTGTGCTTGAATAAGATTCACAAGTAAATGTATGCTGGTATCAGATGTCAGTTTTTTTAATTTACTTCATGTTTGGTTGCATTGGGAATCCAGTACTAACACCTAGCAAGAAATCGCTAACCTCTGCACAACTTACCCATCTGGGAGTCTTTCTAAAACTTTTGTTGCCCATGAAGTCTCATAAAACCAAATCTATGGTAACACAGCCTTTTTGCTTATCCAGACAGCCTCTCCTATCCCATCCAGATTTTTTTCTTGTTTCTTTAGATTTGTTTCATCTATCCTCATCCTTATCTTTATTTCCACTAAGATTTTTAAAATATTTTCTCTATGTACATTTATTTAATTGCCTCTTTCATTTTCTCCTTTGTGAATAAAACAAACAGGAACTGTCCAAAGATAGGTTTGTGTTTATTTGTTGCATCTGCTCGGCCATCAGAGGCCAGCAGTCCCATTGCTTTGCCAGAATTCTACATCTGCAAATTGTGCTTCTACTAGATGGGTAGCCTCTAAAAAGAGGCTTTCTACTCTACATCATATCCTGAACTTTACTATTGTCACTCAGCCATTCCAGTACTGCCCTACTTAGCATCTGATAGTCTCAATCAGTATTTATTATGTAAATGATGCAGCTTTGGAATAATTAGGAGTAATTAGCACACATGTGCTTTATGCCTTGGTAATAGGTGCCTGCGTGTTAAATTCTGCTGAAGTTTATGGATGCAGATTACTAATCTTGTGCAATTTAGAGCACTCCTTTAATCAAGACCAAAATCAAGACATTATGCCTGCCCTTATGGAGCATAGAGTATAGGCCATACAAGTTATTCTTTAAGGAAAAAGTATTCAAAGGCACTAAGGGGAAAACCATGTATGTTCAGAGTTTTGCTGTGCAAATGGTTTCCTCTTATAGATTCAAAATTTTAGACCAGTGGTTCCCACTAGGTACAGAATATTGAAATTAATACTTCATGGTAAAAAAAAAAAAAGCTTTTATTTTTAGAATGTTTAAATTGGAGAAGAGGCACCAGATGGTCAAAGTTGGGGTCCTCTGATAAAGCAGGTCATATGGCTGATACCTGAGAGTCATCTGGCCTAGAATTGTCCCAGGTTGTTTGGGTTGTTAGATCAGTGGTTCAAACAGATTGCTGGGCCCCACCCCCAGTTTCTGATTCAGGTCTTCGGTGTTCCCTTTCTAACAATTTCCCTGGTGATGCTTATGCTTCTGGCCCAGAGACCACACTTCCAGAACCACTGGAGGACAGATTAGGCAGGGAAAAATTCCTCAGGAGAAATGCACTACATTTTGAGATATTGTGAAGAATGGAGGCAAGGTAAACCATGATTGTTATATATGGAATGTACACCTGACCCAAGTCCATGGCCTTCAGAAAATCACCAAGCATATTTTGCATTAAGTTCAAAGTAAAATGCAAACAGGGCCTGGCGCTATACCTGGTTACTAGGTGTGTGTAACCAGGAAAACTTCAGTAAACATCACCTTACTGAGTCAGGTTTGGACATGTGTCCTTAAACCTCTCTGATCAACAGAAGTGAAATTATTTATAATTATATAATTTTCTTATTTTAAATTCTGACAGGCAGTCTTATACCAAAGTTAAAATTAAAACCTCTATCCAAGTCACCATCAAAAACAGGATTCTTATTAATTATGTTTTGTCCACTTTCTTCAACAAACCTATAATGAGCTACCAAGCATTTCATATCAACATTGACTGGTTGCCAAGGAGACTCCACTGCCACTCTGTACAAGCTCATGTTTCTTATCTCCCATTCTGCTAAAAGGAGGGAAACTCATGGGTCAAGGGCAAGATGCTTGGGAAATAGAGGCTATAAATACAGCCTAAGAATAGAGATCTGAAGTGAACAATATGTTCTCTCTTTCATCCGTTAGCAGCAAAAGTACTTGAGTTCAAATGATAAAACGTGAAGGTTTACAGGCAGAACACCAGCATCCAGAACAGTCAGAAAATCCTTCCTTGCAAAATCCTAGGGAAAGGCCACGGGGAATCAACATCTACCTGCCAGGTCCAAATTTCTTCTATCCTTGGCTTCACCGGAGTCAGGAAAGCTCCCTAATAAGAGAAACTCGGCTATTCTGTACAAAATTGTTCTTTATAGGAACCCCGTCAGAGGTAAGGATAGTTTCTTCACCGAGTTCCAAACCTCTGGACTCTAGAAACTATCTGTTTCTCTTCCAGTGCTGTGCCATTGATTCTGCATAAAATCCTGGAACGCTGGCTCCTCGTGACTTTCCTCCGTAGCTGCAAGGAAAGAAAGGTCAATTCTTTTTCAACTCCCATTAGACAGGTCGGTGAGACCTGCTGCCACCCGTCCATCAGACACAGTACTGTTTCTAAGAAACTAAGTGTTCACTTCTCCCAGTCAGGAAAAATCTCCCAGAGCATACTTACCCTGTGGCCCAAAATGTACAGTTTCTTTTATCTGTAAGTGGGGGAAAAACCCCCCTCATAAAGTAACTAAAATGAGGTCCCACTTCTAAGTATTTTCATCCAAAGGAAATGAAAACGTATGTCCACACCAAGATCTATTAATGAATGTTAATAGCAGCTTTAGTTATTAGAGCTAAAATCTAGAAATAACCCAAATGTCAACCAGGTGGTGAATGCATAAACAAACTGTGATAGATCCATATAATGGAGTATTACTCAACTGTAAAAACACTACTAATACATGCAACAAATCACACAAGCATTATACTGATTGAAAAAAGTTGAATGCAAGTTAAATACTGTCATTCCAATTATAAGACAATCTGGAAAAGGCAAAATTATAGGAACAGAAATTAGATCAGTGATTGCCAGGAACTAGGTATGCAGGAAGGGACTGAATAAAAATGGCTTGAGAGAACTTCGGGGGTAATGGAAGTGTTCTGTATATTGATTATGATGGTGGTTACAAGACTAGATGTGTTAAAACTCCTCAAGAGGCACGTGCGCTCGCTCTCTCTCTCTCTCTCTCTCTCTCTCTCTCTCTCTCTCTCTCTGTCTCTCGCATGCCTGAGTTTTTCCCATCCTTTTCTTCTTCCCCAAAGGCACCTTACCTTTGCCTTTCTCTCTCCTAAGCTCCAAGGGCCGTCTTGGAGGGCCTCACTTCTACTACCTCTGTAACTTTCTAAATAAACTTTCTCTTATAATTTGGGGGGAAAAAATGTACAACTCACCAAACTAGAAACTTTTAAAAGGTGGGTTTTACTTTATAAATTATACTTCAATAAACCTGATTACATGAGGCACTTTACATGTTAGCATCCAGTGCACTGGAATAAAGAGAAGTTTGCTCTTGGTCATAGCGAGGATCTAAAAGGGCTGTTTCAAGAAATAGATTCTGTTCACATTCCATAAAACTATGCCAAGTTAACCCTTTTGGGTTTCCAGAGCCATTTTAACCTCAAAGTGTTACTTGCAGTCTCTTCTGACTAGTTCAGGTCTGCTGAGGCCTCCGTATGTATTCTCAAAGCAATTACAATAAACAAAATCCTAGACTCCTCAGACTGAGTCAGGACCTAACTTGAGAAGACAGACTAATAAAAGGCCTGTAATCAGCTCAATATTAACCATTCAGCAGGAAGGCCAGGCACTCCCAATGCATGAGACTCTTTCCTGGTGCTATACCTTAACAATCTCCTCTCTCCCCAATTTTTTTTTCTTTTTTGTTAATCCTCACCCGAGGATATTTTTTCCATTGATTTTTTTTCTTTTTAGACAGAGTGAAAGGGAGGGGGAGAGAGTGAGAAACATCAATGTGAGAGACACATAGACTGGTTGCCTCCCATACACACCCAGACTGAGGCTGGGGGTCAAGCCTACAACCGAGGTACATGCCCCTGACCAGAATCGAACTTGCAACCCTTCAATCTGCAGGACAATTCTCTAACCACTGAGCAATTGGCTACGGCTCCTCTCCCCTATTACTGGATGCATATTCAAGACCTTCTCTTAACAAGAAGGTCCTGACAAAACTAAATGAGGATAAGCAACTAGTCTGTTTTCATGAGCCACCTCTCACCTCTGTGGTCAATATCATCAGTGTCGCTGTCTGCTTCTTCATCTTCTTCATCCAAGGTTCCCCGAGTGAGGATCAAGTCAGAAGGGTCCCGCCCAGAAGGTAAGCTGTCTACAGAGAAAACACCAGCAGCATGTCATGAACACATGCCTCCTCCAAAAGGTGATTCTGAGTCGGTAAATAACTACAATTTTTAATTTGGCTGGATGAAAGTAGTCATGATAAAATGCAAGATAATACTTCTCCCAAATGTATTGTTAATACCACATAACATTTCAAGTCTAATTCACAAAGTGCTTTCACTATTCTAATAAGAGGTCTTTTTATTGTTTAGGTTTTGTTTTTCTTTAATATATTTTTTTATTGATTTCAGAGAGGAAGGGAGAGGAAGAGATAGAAACATCGATGATGAGAGAGAATCATTGATTGGCTGCCTCCTGCACACTCCCTTTTGGGGGTCGAGCCTGTAACCCGGGCATGTGCCCCTGACCGGAATCAAACTCAAGACCCTTCAGTCCACAGCCCAGCGTTCTAACCACTGAGCAAAACCATCTAGGGCTGAAGATCTTATTTTTAAACTAAGGAAAATAATTCTCAAGTAGCTTGTCTTAGTAGAAATGTCATTCTTTATAAAAATATATATTTTTAATTGATTTCAGAGAGGAAGGGAGAGGGAGAGAGATAGAAACATCAATGATGAGAGAGAATCATTGATCGGCTGCCTCCCACATGCCCCACACTGGGGACCGAGCCCACAACCCAAGCATATGTCCTGACGGGGAATCCAACCATGACCCCCAGGCTCACAGGTCGATGCTCAAACCCTAAGCCATGCCAGCCAGGCTCACTCATTTTTACTAGCTGACAGCTTGGAACAGACGATGGACTTATGCTCAAGACGTTCGAGCAGATCCAGGGTGCTGGTGAGTCAAGGGTCAGTGTGGAGCACCGAGGAAGCTTCCTGGTGGAAATTAAGTTCAGAAAGGGTCGGAAGAGAGCACCGTGTAAAATGACCCAGAGTAGAGGAACCAGGGTATTATTCAGAAATAAGATGGGTGGGGGGAGACTATGGAAAACTGAATATAATAATAGAGGCAAATTCCCTACTGAGGGAAACTCCACAGGGCTGAGCTCCAATAATCAGGAAGAAGTATAATCAGGTTATTCCTTGGCAGGGGATTCCGCCTACAGGGGTCGGTTTCTGTAAGAACCTGAAACCGTGCCAAGTAACCTAAAGCCATGGGAGGACATGACCACTCTCTCTTCAGGTGCCTGAGAGGTCAAGCAGGATGAGCTGGGGAATAGGGCGTCAAAAAGCAGCAACACCAAGGGGCACAAAGCTCAAGTGGCCCGGCCCTGAGAAAGGATGACGGCATGGTGTGCCAACAGTCACTGCTTCATTCTGTGCCCAACTCAGAATTACACAACCATACTTGCGATTTCCCCAAGTGACTGACTGAAACTCCTCCAACTTTTAGCAGGTTATCTAAGGACAGCAGACCCTTTGCAACAGATTTAACAGTTGCCACTTCGTGTATTCATGAGTGATTCCAAGGACCACAGCACATAGAAATTGATGTTGCTGAGGTGTGCAACCAGGACGGCATAGGCAAGTTCATGTAACTGGTCAACCCAGTCCATTTCTCGCATCTCCTCCAAGCAGCTTTGCATGTTCTCTACTAGGAGTATAGCAATAGCTTTCCTGAACAGAACTTCACTCCTTTAAAGGCCAGCCCATCAGTAAGTGTGGATGGGTGGGAGTGTATACATTTAACTATGAGTACCAACCTAGAAATCCCTAGAGAATCAATGACAAAACTAACTCAAAAGTAGCAGAATAAAAAAACTAATGTACAAAAATTGAAAGTTTTGTACACACAAACATCATCAGAAGATATAATCGTTCAAAAAAACTATTTTCAACACTAAAAAGAAGAAAAAAATCCTTGAAATAAATTTAATAAGAAATATGCAAACCCCACATAAGGAAAACATCCCCCTCTTCTCTTTCCGCTCTTAAATATAAGTGTCTTCCTGCCGAGTAGAAATAACATATCCACTTTCAGTCCCTAACACCAAAGACCCTCCAATACCTGTCGCAGCTCCTGTGTCCAAGGCAACAGAGCCCATATCTTTCTGAAGGCGTTCTAGTTGTTCTTTCTGCTGCTGGCTCTGTGCACTGGCCTGTACATGTAGAGAAAGCTATCATTAGATTCAAAAAAGGGCCCCAAGTCAGATGTATCTTCTGACTGGAGATGACCAATTATACAAATGCCAGAGACTTCCTAAACATTGAGGCAGATAAGGGATGGCTGATATGGATAGAAACACTGAGTAGTATGGGCCCAGATTAGCAATTCAGGCTGGAGGGCTCTGGAGACTGAATCAGAAGTTCCAGGAACTGGACACAAAATACACCAAAAGACCGCTCAAACAGATACAGGAGGAAGACTCGGTGATATGGAGCCCAGTGCGGCCAGTGGGGACAGGACACCTGATCCGTTGAAATGAGAGTTGTGAGCCACCTCTCTTTTCCTAAACAAAACTCTACAACTAGCCTTTAAATGGACCTCGGAGTAGGGGTGGGGGTAGGGTGCAATAAGGGCTTAGCACATATCTGATTTTTAAAAGTTTTTTTAAAATATATTGATTTTAGAGGGAGAGGAATTGGAGGGGGAGGACACATCAATTTGTTGGCATATCAGAACGACACTCTAACCAATTGAATTTCCTTGCCAGGGCAGAAAAATCTGGCTTTTAAAACTTCAAATAAAGAAAAGTTAAATAACTTAAGGGACCTTTCTACATCCAGAAAGCACACATAGACATTTACAAATTTAAATTAACAAGTATCTAAAAGACACACTGATGGCCGAAACAAAAGTATTAATGGCAGGAGGATAAGTGTATGGTTTAAGGTTGTTTTTTTAGTGGCCCTAAAACACACAAACAGCCTCCTCTCTTACCAGTGATTTCTTCAGACGTTCATATTCAGGACGATACTCCCTGAAAGAGAAACAATTTCTAAATTGCTGTGTTTAAAATATGTCCTGCCTGCCCACACTTCCCTTCTGTTTTCCTAGGGATCTGAAAATAAAAAAAGGTCTTACTTAACTGAACGTCAGGCATAACAAGTGTAACTCACTGAAATGCTATCCCTATGGAATTAAAAGCCAGGGTACCGCCCTAGCCGGCTTGGCCCAGTGGATAGAGCGTCAGTCTGTGGACTGAAGGGTCCCAAGTTCAATTCCGGCCAAGAGCACAAGCCTGGGTTTCGGCCTCGACCCCCAGTAGGGGGTGTGCAGGAGGCAGCCGATCAATGATTCTCTCTCATTGATGTTTCTGTCTCTCTCCTTCTTCGTTCCTGTCCAAGGTACCTGTCCTCACCTGGGAAACTAGAAAAAAGAAAAATGTCTGACTGCTGAGCTGGAAAGATTAACTCTAGAGACAATGACTAATGAGCTTATTAGCATTCATATGGATAAACATTTGAGATGAGTAAAAGAATCGAGGACTGCTGGGTTCAGGAAGCCCAATATATATTAACTTTTAATTATGTGGTTTTAACAGGGCAACTATGAAAGGACACAAAGCAGTCTTTTCCTAAGGCTTTGATCACACACGATCACACACACACACACAAAACCCTTATCTAATGAATCAAACTCAAAATAATGTGTCTGAAAACCACAATGTGTTTGTTAGGATCTTGCTATTTATGGGGCCACAGGAGCATGTGGGGATGCAGCAACTAACAGGCTACAGACCTACGGAAAGTATCTGCATGCTCTGACTCCACTTTCCTTTAGGTAAATGGAATTCCAATATTAATTATGACAAGTAATAACAATCATTTATTATGAAACGTGCTTACTATGTGTCAGCAATTGCACTGGGTGCTCCAGATGTTTTCTCAAATAATTCTCACAACAACCTTAGCAATGCATGCTATTATCCCTGAACTACAACTGAGGAAGCTTGCAGAAGTTATTCATTAAGTGGAGGAAACAGAAACCCAACTCTTAACTGTCTGACTCCAAAGCATTAAAGCTAATGGGGTCGTCCAATGTGGAAAACAGCCAAATCAAGTCCGCTGCCTATTTTTATAATAATGTTTTACTGGAACACAGCCACGTTCATTCATTTATAAACTGTCTATGGATTCTTTTTTGCTAAAACAGAATTGAACAGTTGCAACAGAGATCACAAAGTCCACAAAGTCTAAAATGATTATTATCTGGCTTTTCACAGAAAGTCTGGTGACTCCTGCCTGCTCTTACTCATTAAATACAGTGAAGATTTTATACTCCTATTTTTTAAAAACAGTTAATGGGGATTAGTTACCCCTAAGTGTGGTCAGTACACATACGCATGGCAAATGTAATATATATGCTATGAAAACCAAAATGCTTTGCCTGGCAAAACTGCTATCATATCAGCATTGTGGGTCATTAAGAATGTCATCAATAGAATTGTCCTTTGTTCTCACCTTTCATATTCTTCCGCAGCACTGGTGACTTGCACGAAGAGTTCATCTAAGCCTGTACCCAGAACAGCAGACACACCTACCACCTGACAAAAGCAACATTAATGCCACTGAGCAAAGAGATGTATATTTTTTAATGGTGTACATTATTTTGTTCAAATTTCATTAAAATCTTCACAAAAAAGTTTAGATACTTAAGTCTCTGGCAAAGAATAAAAGCTAAACCAGAAAGCAGCATGTCTACTAAAAAGTCATGGAAATAAGTCTAAGGCAAATAGAGAATTGAACAAGAAAGATAATTAGGGACAAACAAGTAGCAGGGCTTTTTATCTATTCTCTATCAAATCAAACCACTGTCTGTTCTCTATGAAAATTAGTATGTCAGTGCCTTTACTTGGGCAATTAACATAGGCTCTGGCACTCACACCCACTTTTGCTTATACAAATCTTACCCTCCCTTCAAAGCATACTCTAAAGCTATATCCTCCAACATTTCTCATGTCAAGTGATCTTCCCTCTCACTACCATCAGGGCCAAATTCCAATCTTTCTTAATTCTGTTTTAATTCTGTGTGTAGCTTTCCCTTCTAATTAGACCATAAACTCTCTGAGGGTAAGGTCTCTATCTATTCATCTATAAACCTCCAGTATTTAATAAGTTAATGCTTTAAAATTTACTTTTCAAAAAGTAATGAATTTCCTTCCTAAGATGGTTCAAAGCCAGCCCCATTGGGTTAAGATGTGATCTGGGGAAACTGTCGGTATGAGCAGAAGAGAACGTTTACCCTGAGTGAGCTGTAAAATTCATCTAACACCAAGCTCATCGAACGAGTCAGGTTACTGACATATGTAGTCTCTTGATTCAAGGCATCTTGGAAAGCCTCAAAATCTTGCATCCATTCCACTGCAAAGCTGTGATCAATGATGTCAGTCTGCAACAGAGAGAAGCCAACTATGAGAAACCAGAGATGAGTTTAGAGACCAAATAATGCCCCTCCCCCCCTTTTTTAATTAAGTAGTGATAATAAGCAATTATTCAGGGGTGAGGGGAGGTAGAAGAGGGTATGGGGTACAAATAGTGATGGAAGGAGATTTGACTTGGGGTGATGAACACACAATAGTGTACAGATGATGTATTATAGAATTTTACATCTGAAACGTATACAGTGTTATCAACCAATGTCACCCAATAAATTCAATAAAGAAAGAAAGCAATCATTCATATATTTTCTTTCTCTGCTTTCCCCAGTTCCTCTTCCACTACAACAAGCCATAAAGAACCAAGATTGCTGTATAGTGTTAATTAAATGAAGTTATATGTTCTCCTCACTATCCACTGCCAAGTCACCATGACCACAGTGGATGCCAGCCCATTCCAGGCTCTAAAGTCAACTAGTCTGCTGTATCCTAGCTATCAATCAACAGGGAAGTTTTGTCTTTTTGTTTTAGTTGCCACTTCCAATAGACTAGCAGTCCCATCTCCGCCCATTGTCTCGATTCTGAGGAATAATCCACACCCTACAAGTGAGGGGCTGCTCTATCTAGGCTGAAATAACTTGGGATGAAAGTCAGTGATAAATATTCAATCTGACTGAATCTTCTCCCTAGAAGTGCCCATGACTGTTTCAGTTAAGCTTGAATCTACTCTCCTGCCTCTAAATAACATTTCCCACCTATTCCAAATCTTCCAATAACACAAAGTTCTGATGAAAAACAAATACAGGACTGAATCACAACAGAAGGATCCACTTACTTTATTCATGACCACAATGAAAGGAAGCTTGGTTTTGTACAAGATGCTGAAAAATCAAACATCAAAACATTATCAGTAAAAACACTGCAGCTCTTGTTTACCATGTCAGTCAGTTGGAACTGAGTAAAGGGGACTGAGTTCAGACTCGAAGTATAAGGTATCCATTCTTACAAGGCACAAGTCCTCCTCTCCCAAGAGAAAAACCACCCCCACCATCACAACAAACACACACACATAACTCTCTTTCTTTAAGAATGCTTTGCTACTGATTCTATTTTCTGTGTGTGTGTGTGTGTGTGTGTGTGTGTGTGTGTGTGTGTGTTTGGTTGCTTGTTTTTACCAAATAATTGTCTTTTAAACAACTAATATAAAAATAAGCAAATGGCCCTAGCTGGTTTGGCTCAGTGGATAGAGCATCAGCCTGTGGACTGAAGGGTCCCAGGTTCAATTCCGGACAAGGGCACATACCTGGGTTGTGTGTGGGCTTGATCCCCAGAAGGGGACGTGCAGGAGGCAGCCAATCAATGTTTTTCTCTCATCATTGATGTTTCTATCTCTCTTTCCCTCTCCCTTCCTCTCTGAAATCAATAAAGATATTTTTTTTAAAAAATGAGCAAATGCTGTCAGTCATCAGATTTCTATTTGGACTAGGATTTCTTGCATCAAATAAGAGACATCCCTAATCATACTCAAAGGGGCAAATGTTGGTGATGGCTTTTCTGCACCCCCAAAAATCCAATTCTCTCAGCTTCAATAACGGCATGCCTTGCTCCTAGATCTAATGTATTCACATAACCTAGTGAGGCATGTCCTTCCTCTCCTAATCATCCCGCCGTTGGGGCAAACCTGTGTGTTTTAGAATTATGGATAACCTTTTTACTCATAATCTCTCCCCATGTTATAATTTCCCATGTTATCATAATACAGAAAAGGAGCTCTGTTTTATTTAGACTTGGATCTCACTGAACTGGGAGCAACTACCAGAAGATTCACACTCACACACTACCTCTTTCTGTAGCAAGCACGGAGGAAGATGAGAAGCTGCTGACAGAGAACGCCAAGAGCACATGTGCCTCTTTTCTCTTCTGACCCCTCCCCAACTCACAACCACTAAAGTGAGTGGCAAACCTGAATGAGCACAAATCTAGGGATACGCACTCAGGACTCAAAGAAGAAGAGGAGGCCTCATACCTTGATGTAATATCATGCCCAGCAATAATCAATTACCTGCAGGCATAGAGCATGTTGGACATGAAGGTCACTGGGTTGGTACTTCTTGATGTGTCCATTACATAAATGACAATCGTTGGAAATGAGGATGCCTAAAGCCACAAAATAATCAAAGCCTTAGCCAGAGGGCTCATGATCTGTTCCCAGATTTTTCCTATCTTCTTTAGCAAGAGAGAACCACTTTACAGAGCTTTTATTACTCCCTTCTACATAAGGTCCCAGGCAATAAAAAAAGTCTAGCTCTCAGTAATACCTACAATACTCACCAGGGCCTCTGTGATGATTGTCCCAGAAGCTGACCAGGTGAACACTTCAATCTGCCCAGGTGTGTCAATCAAGACATATCTGTGTCAAGAAAGACCATTAAAGAAGTATTACACTTGTACAATGCTGAAAATACCCCATTACACAAAACATCAAACTACTGGTTATCCAAGATTGGAATACACTCTTCACATTGCCAAGTCTACCTTCCTCCCATTGTCTTTAAAATGCATACCACATTCCCCCAAGTTTTGTTCAATGTCCAATATTCATGCTAATGGATAAGAGCAGCAGTGCGGCCTGAACCGGTTTGGCTCAGTGGATAGAGCGTCGGCCTGAGGACTGAAGGGTCCCAGGTTCGATTCTAGTCAAGGGCATGTACCTGGGTTGCGGGCACATCCCCAGTGGGGGGCGTGCAGGAGGCAGCTGATCGATGTTTCTCTCTCATCGATGATTCTAACTCTCTATCCCTCTCCCTTCCTCTCTGTAAAAAATCAATAGAGTATATTTTTTTTTAAAAAGAGCAGCAGTGCATAAATTACTGCAAATGATCACAGGAGACTGTGTGATAGTTATAGATACACACTGCATTAAAAATGAGATAAGAAAAACCAGAATATAAATCTCTTGAGAAACTATCCAGTTGCTTAGAGGAGGGGGTGGGACAGGCGAGTGATAGCTAAAGAATACAGGGTTTCTTGTTGAGGTGATGAAAATGATCTAAAATTGCTGCTAGCTGCACAATTCTGTGACTATACTAAAAGTCAGTGAATTGTACACTTTAAATGGGAGAATTGCATGGAATGTGACTTATATCTCAATAAAGCTGTTTTAAAAATGAGCAAAGAATTTAAATAGACACTTCTACAATTATATACCAATGACCAATAAATAGATGAAATGATGCTCAATATCATTAATCCTTGAGGGAATACAAATCAAAACCACAATGCAATACCACCTCACACCCACACACCCACTAAGACAGTTATAATAAAAAACAAAGATATAACAAATATTGACAAGGACGTGGAGAAACTGGAACCCTCATGCACTGCTGGTGGGAATGTAAAATGGTGCAGCCAATAGGAGCTGGGGAAAAAGAAAGATTGCTAATGTGTATGACATTTCTTTTGGGATAATAAAAATGTTCTGAAATTAGACAGTAGGAATCAATACACAATTTTATGAGTATACTAAACACCACTAAATTATATAAAGGAGTGAACTTTATGGTATATGAGTTTATATCGCAAGAAAGATTTTTTAAAATATATTTTTATTGATTTCAGAGAGGAAGGGAGGAGAGAGAGAGAGAAACATCAATGGTGAGAGAGAATCATTGATCAGCTGTCTCCTGCATGCCCCCTACAGGGGAGCAAGCACACAACCCAGGCATGTGTCCTTGACCAGAACTGAACCCAGGATCCTTCAGTCCACAGGCCGACACTCTATTCACTGAGCCAAACCAGCTGGGGCTCAAGAAAAATATTTTTTAAAACTACCTCTTTTATGATACTATTTTTGCAAAACACCTTATCCCTCCATTCTTCTACTTATGTATATATGCATAGAAACATGTGAAATGATAGTCACTGGTAGTAATAATAATGATAGTTATTTCTAGTGGGTCTAGTGGGTGATAACTGCACCTTTTAAATTATGTATGGTTTGAATTGGTTTTTTTAAAATATATTTTTACTGGTTTCAGAGAGAAAGGAAGAGGGAAGGAGAGAGAGACAGAAACATCAATGATGAGAGAGAATCATGGATCAGCTGCCTCCTGCAGGATCAAACCCACAACCTGGGCATGTGCCCTGATGGGGAGTCAAACCATGATCTCCTGGTGCATAACCTCTGAACGATACCAACCAAGTTGAATTCTTTGTAAGGGTCATATATCTTTTTTTATAAAAATAATGAATTATCTTTCTTTTTTTTAAAGCAAACCTATTAAAAACCTATTAACAGTTAATCTATTAACAGTGGGTAATAATAAACAAATATTTTATTTTATATTTTGAAACTTTTAAAATTAAAAAACAATTATTCTCTCTGATTTATGTAAATTATATTCGTTTAAGAGTTAGAAAGATGTTTCAGAGATTTTAATGCCAACAAATATGGTTTCCCAAAAGAAAACAGAGACAAAGTTTCAAAATATCTCCTAAGAAGCCATGAGCATATACCAAAGAGGCTGGGGATAGAATACTATTAAATTTAGCTCTACACTATATAGCATCTTAATGATTTTCTTGACTATCTTTTTTTTCATTTCTAATAGTTTCATCTTAACCTAAACTCTTTCAAAACTTAATGCTAACCCAAAATCTTTCCAAAAAGCCTAGAAAAGTGTTAACTACAGAGTAATAAACAGGCGCTAAACTGAAATCACTTACTTAGACATGTTCTGGGCCTTCTCAATAAATTTCATCACCTAAAAGAAAAAGATGCCAATTACAACAGGAGCCGATTTCAGCATAAAATCACAGGGTCCTCTCCAAGTGGCCTGCTTTATAGGTACCATCAACTATTGAATCTCTGTGTTCTCAATCTTAGGACACCAACTAATAAACTCACTGAACCACAGAAACACAGCCACATCAGCAGCACTGCAGCATCCTGGAGCACAGGGCAAGGGTCTGAGAAGCTGATAACTGTCACAAGTTTAAAAAGCCCCATTATTTTTCTGTTCCATGCCTGCTAGCTCATCTCTCCCCTCATCCCTTTACTCCATCCTCAGGGTAACACTATATGCCAATAACAGATCAAGAAACAAACACGGTCTCCTGTATTTGTTTTACTGGCTGTCCCAAATATTAAATATGAAGTGCTCATAAAACTGATCATCCTCTCATACTAGTAGCCTATTTCTCTGTCTACCAAAATGCCTATTTATTTTCTACTGGAGACCCGGTGCACGAATTCATGCACGAGCGGGGTCCGGTCAGCCTGCCCCAGTCGGGGTGATCAGGCTGGGCTGGCCAGGGGAAGGGGACCGCCAGGGGAAGGAGATACGGGAGGTTGGCTGGCCAGCCCTGCCCCTAATTGGGGTGGGGGGGCAATTAGGGGTGGGGGTAGCCAGGGGGAGGGGCCGAAGGCAGTTGGCAGGCCAGCCCCACCCCCTGTCCAACTCCCGGTCCAACTCCCAGTCGAGGGGACAATTTGCATATTAGCCTTTCATTATATAGAAGGATATTTATATCCAAGGTTAATTGCTCTTCTTTCCCAATGTTATCAAACTAAGGTATTTAAGAGCCACTGGTTTTTACAGTCATGCCTATATGAGTGAAAACAGACAGACATACCTGATCAAATCTAGTAGCAAAGAGATTGAGTGAGGTCACTATGCCACCATTGGGTCCAAGTCCATATCTAGACACTAAGTTGAGGATTTAAATTGTTTATAGATGAAATGAGATGATAAAGTTCATACCCAGGACATCACTCACACAAACATTATAATATTAGTGGTCCATTAATGAATATTGGCAAGCTAATCCTTGACTTAGTATGTACTACACAGCTGTAACTTCATAGGAAACATTCATCAAGGTCTTCTTCATTTATTTGTTGTTTTAAGGAGGGCCAGGCAAAATGAACAAACTAAAGGCACCAAAACATAATAGACAGATGCATCAGGCAGTGACAGCCTGCTAGCATTAGCTAGTACGATCATCTATATAACACTCCTTGCTCTGATCCTCACTAATCAAGCAACTTGCTGATTATAATTAGTTTTCCTACCTAGACTTACCTAGAGGGAAAGTACACATTTCACATAGCAATGTACCAAGAGGTGATCCTACTCATTTCTGGGTTTCCCAGTTTGAAGAGGTGATGACCAATGGATGTAGCTTCCAAGGCAATGCTACTTTCTGGGTCCTAGGCACGCTACCAGCTTGCCTCTCATTATCTACGCCCTCTAATTACAACAGCCTGCCATCTGGGAATTTGGTAAAAAAAAAAACTAAAATCGCAAGCCCAAAGAATATTTCTAATCACCTACAATACTTTTTCCCAGCTTCATCTTTCATTTTCCTAATAAAGTGACTTTAAAGTAATCAAAATGATTTTGCTAGTATATTTCACAAGGAAACCCAAAAACTTTCCTTCAAAGCTGCAAAATACAGAGAGAGTCAACACCAAAGACGACGTAAAAAAAGGATACTGTTTCATGACTTCTTTATACTTCACAGTGTCACGAATATCTGGGGAAAGAGGGTGAAGAATTAATTAGAATTTAACACATAAGAAACAATATAGCTTGAGGCTCTCCACCAATAATATCCTAAGCCAAGAGGTCTCTCAAGTCATCTCTGATCCCCTGAGGAAAAAAAATAAGTTTCCCTCTAAGCATGAGTTACTTTTCAAATTTGTTTTGTAATTTTTAAGCCAAGATCATTGAACTGTGATGAAAAAGAAGCAAAATTGTGAGGAAAAGAATAGAAGGGCAGAAGGTGTCCTGTACTTTCTCTACCAGCAAGAAATGAAAAGTAGCTTTTAGTATTCCCTTGTCAGCATTCTCTTCTACCAGCTTCACAATGGTTCCTGTCCTTACAAAGGATAGCTGTCAAGTCCCCCATGAAGAATGTTAGGTTACAACTTCTCAAGCTACGGTTGAGATGTTCTGAGATAGGGAGAAAAGTTTTATGCACTTAAACACCTTGTCAGTAATCATATGAATAGAAAAAGGGCGCTAAATCAAGAAAAAACTGTTTATTTCTTATTAACTGCTACTGATAACAAAGGTAATGCAGACATGATTTTTAAAAAGTAATTAATTTATCCAGTAATATCTAACTAAACCTATCTACCAGTCTATAAACCTACCCCATCAACTATTAGAATTCCACCCTTTAAGTGAGATGGGAGATTTTTTCCCCCAAATCCTTTGCCATATATATATATGTGTGTGTGTGTGTGTGTGTGTGTGTGTGTGTATGTATATATATGTATATGTATACATGTGTATGTGTGTGTGTGTGTGTATCTCCAGCAAACCTTCGGCGCAGAGGACAATGCTCACCTAACTGAGCCACACTGGCCAGAGCACAATTTCTGCTTCTTAACATAAGGCCTTCCTTTGTTTGGGTTGTAAGCATCTTGACAGGATTAAGAAGAGATAAAAAGATTACCACAGTGAAAGTCTAGATCAGGAAGCCTAGATCCTATCAAGAAACATGACATTGGATCACATCCATTCTCACCTTTTTATAGTCACAGATTCCTATTAGGATAACTGGGAACCTCTCCCCAAAACAATGCACATATGCATATCTATGCACATTCTTCCATGTAATTTTGGGAGTGGAAGCAAGGTTCCTACAAATCATTAAGTGAAATACCACACAAAAACCATTATACTCTAACTAAACTTTGAGAAAAATCTATATATATATAAAACCCTAATATGCAAATAGACCGAAGGGTGGGACAACCAAACAATCAGTCACTATGACGTGCACTGACCACCAGGGGGCGCGCATGGAACATAAAGGGCCACGGCGCAATGGGGGAGGGGGGTGGGGGGGAGGCGCGCCAGACCAAGGCGGGGCACCAGTCACTGTCATCCGGTGAGCCTCTGGTGGTTACTGAAAATTCCTTGCTCCTACGCACTGCGGTCCTGCCGCGCTCACACCTGTGCTGGTGTCAGCCCTGCTTGCACCCGCTGCCAGCACCAGCCCCGATCACTCAGCACTGTCAGCAGGTGCGAGCTGCGACTGCCAGCCCCAATCACCCCTGAGGGCTTCTCCACCTCCCCCTGCTCCTGAGGGGCAATCAGGGCAGCAGCCGCAGCTCGCACTCACTGACAATGCCAGCCCTGCTCACACCTGCTCCTGGCGCCGGCCCCAATTGCTCCACATCGTCAGCAGGTGTGAGTGGGGCCGGCACTGTCAGCGCATGGGAGCAGGGCTGCCGGCAGACAGGGAACCGGGGGCCAAGGCAGGAGGGGCTGGGTGGGGGCACGGAGGATGGGCCAAGTCCTGCCTCCATGCCCACCACAGCCTTGTGGTCCACAGTTCAAGGTGCACGAATTCGTGCACTGAGCCCCTAGTAAACTAAATAAAGAGGTGCATATATGAGAGCCGGCTGAAGGGTTTAGGGCCTAGAAGTGAGAAACCACTTCATTTTCCCAAACAACAATAGCCTGATACCTCAGGGTCAGGAAGGAGAAATAACACTGAGTAGAAAGGAAACAAAGGGAAAGGAGTAAACAGAGAAAATGTGAATAAGGCAGAAGCCTGTTCAAGAATTCTAGCAAATCCATGGGAAATGAAAGTAGGTAGTTTAGAAAAAAATGAAAGCATTGAAAACTGGCAGGCTGGAGGGTTTCCATTCCAAGCAACTTTATACAAAACGGTAGTTTACTCACCAATATTGGCAGGAAAGGGAACTTCATGCACAGCTGGGTCGAGATTGATCACATAAGGTGGAGAGCCTTGGCTGTGCAGATGTCCTGTGAGCCTCTACAGAGATGTGAGGTGCGGGATGGAGACAGACAAAGAGGGCATGATAAGAGGACAAAGGACATTTCCCTCCATCTGAAATACTCACCTCCAACATTCAACTCTCAGCTGAAATGCAATTCTTTCTTTATTACCCGTTTAACAGAGCCTCCTCTTCCCTCCATCACTTATTTACTTGCTTTGTGTGGGGTTTTTATCCTATCACCTCCAATAAACCAGTAGTTCCATGAATGCAGAACCTTGTCAACCTCATTTTCACTGTTTCCCCATTGCCGGTGTTAGACTCAAAATGATGACAGTAACCAGGCAGCAAGTGCTCCGAAGAATGAAAGTTTTGCAGTTTCTTTTACTTATGCATTTGGAATTAAGGAGGAAGATGACATAAAGTTGGAGAAAGAAAGGCGGAAAGTGGATGGTTAATAAGATTACATGCTCTCTTGAAAAAGAGGCATTTCAAAGGTGAGTTAACCCAGATGCGTGCACACACACAAAAAAATGAACAGGACTTGCTTAGAGCACATGTAAACATTTTACCAAAGAAGTTATATGCTGGGGTGTGACTACCTACCAAGACCTGCCCAGTTAAGAATTTATGATCCATATTATCTCACTCATATGTGGAATCTAATGAACAAAATAAACAAAATAGAAACAGGCTCACAGATAGAGAACAGACTGACAACTGTCAGAGGAGAGGTAGGGTTGCAGTGCTGGGTGAAAAAGGTGAAGAGGTTAAACAAAGAATAAGACTCACAGGCACAGACAACAACTGGCGATTGCCAGAGGGGGAGAAGGGTGCGGGTTGGTAGAAGAGGGTAAAGGCGGGATAAATGGCGAAGGAAGGAGACCTGACTTGGGGTGGAGAACACGATACAATATACAGATGATGTACTATAGACTGGACATCTGAAACCTATGTAATTTTATTAACCAATTGCACCCCAACAAATTCAATTAAAAACTAATTTATGATCCAATCACCCTGTGAGGTTAGAAATAGAAACAGGCTCATAGATAGAGGACAGACTGACAACTGTCAGAGGAGAGGTGGGGTTGCAGTTATTACACTTATTACGGCACCCCTTTTCTGTTCACACAACAAATAGCTAATTCTTTAGCCATCTATGCCGAAAGCCTGCGTGGTAGCACTCTGCACTATGAATCGCGTTACTTGTAAGTCAGCCTCTGCCTTCAAGTCAGCAATTTTGCCGGCAGGACAACCGCAGTACCAGGTGGTAAGCGGCACCCGGTATGCACTCCAGGCGCCTTGCTGAGCCCAGGCTCCGGTGCAACGTCTCCGAGGACCCCCGGAGCCACGCGCCGGCCCTCCCGCTCCTCGGGAAGCCCTCCCCTCCCGCTTCCCGGCCTTCCACCGCCTCTCGCGCACACCTGCTTCGCCCGCGCCATGTACCTCACCTGTACGAAGGTGGTTTTCCCAGACCCCGCCATCCCCAACACCAACAGACACACTGGGGGCCGAGGACCCCCGGACGCCTGAGGCCCGGCTGCAGCCGCGGGCGCCGCCATCTTCCTCCTGGCTCCGCCCACTCGACCATCGAGACGTCACGTGGCTAGAGAGACTTCCGCCGCGGCGGCTGGGAGACGGAATGGGACTGGCTCCGACCGCTCAGAAGAGCATCCTCCGGTCCCGACCGGGCTCGGGAGGAGCCAACCGGGAGCCTTGTCGGGGGAGTGGAGGCGCTGGGAGGACTGGAGCGAGCGAACCGGAAGAAGAGCACGGCCTGGGTTCGCAGGAGAACGGACGAGATGAGATCCCGAGAGCAGGGCTCCCATGATGCAAAAAAGAGAGTGCGTTTCACTTCCGTCCCCCAAAGGAGCCAGGACTAGATTCCGGAGAACCGACTGCTAGGGCTGAGCCGGGCGAGGGGTTAAGCCGCGAGGGGGGTGGGTGTGGGGGGAACCGGCCTGGACTGGAGCGGGATGCGAACCTAGGGGTTGCCGGGCGGTGCAGAGGCCCGTTGAACCGAGACACTTGGCTCACGGGAACCCCGTCCCCGCCTGGCGACGCCCCTGACACTGGCCCTAGTCCCTCTCGGTGGACTTACACCAACGCCCTGACACTAGCCCTAGTCCCTCTCGGTGGACTTACACCAACGCCCTGACACTAGTCCTAGTCCCTCTCGGTGGACTTACACCAACGCCCTGACACTAGTCCTTGTCCCTCTCGGTGGACTTACACCAACGCCCTGACACTAGCCCTAGTCCCTCTCGGTGGTCTTACACCAACGCCCTGACACTAGCCCTAGTCCCTCTCGGTGGTCTTACACCAACGCCCTGACACTGGCCCTAGTCCCTCTCGGTGGTCTTACACCAACGCCCTGACACTTGTCCTAGTCCCTCTCGGTGGTCTTACACCAACGTCCTGACACAAGTCCTTGTCCCTCTCGGTGGTCTTACACCAACGCCCTGACACTAGCCCTAGTCCCTCTCGGTGGTCTTACACCAACGCCCTGACACTAGCCCTAGTCCCTCTCGGTGGTCTTACACCAACGCCTGACACTAGCCCTAGTCCCTCTCGGTGGACTTACACCAACGCCCTGACACAAGTCCTTGTCCCTCTCGGTGGACTTACACCAACGCCCTGACACTAGCCCTAGTCCCTCTCGGTGGTCTTACACCAACGCCCTGACACTAGTCCTTGTCCCTCTCGGTGGTCTTACACCAACGCCCTGACACTAGCCCTAGTCCCTCTCGGTGGTCTTACACCAACGCCCTGACACAAGTCCTTGTCCCTCTCGGTGGTCTTACACCAACGCCCTGACACTAGCCCTAGTCCCTCTCGGTGGACTTACACCAACGCCCTGACACAAGTCCTTGTCCCTCTCGGTGGACTTACACCAACGTCCTGACACTAGTCCTAGTCCCTCTCGGTGGTCTTACACCAACGCCCTGACACTAGTCCTTGTCCCTCTCGGTGGTCTTACACCAACGCCCTGACACTAGTCCTTGTCCCTCTCGGTGGTCTTACACCAACGCCCTGACACAAGTCCTTGTCCCTCTCGGTGGTCTTACACCAACGCCCTGACACTGGCCCTAGTCCCTCTCGGTGGACTTACACCAACGCCCTGACACTGGCCCTAGTCCCTCCCGGTGGTCTTACACCAACGCCGGGGGGTGGACGCTAGGATTCCCGGAGCAAGCAGGTACTGAGGGGCGTTTCCCTGCACGGAAGCGTCCTTGGAAACCGAAAAGGTGATGCAAGAGCTGAGACATGTATTCCTGCTCCTTACCTCCGAGTCTGTTCTGGGCCCTTTGTAGCCAGCTGTTCACCAAGTCGTAGATAAATGTGGGTTTCACACCGACCCCGGCTCTGCCACTTGTTAGCAGTGTAAATCGTGGCCAAGTTACTTAGATGCTCCAAACCTTTCTTCTCTTTAAAATTGAGATATCTCATAGGGGTGGTAGTGAATGCATTTTGTAAATTTTAAACTACAGTCCTTCACCTTTACCCCTACCTGCATGCCCGGTGCCTCGCCGTAAGTGCTCAAAAATATTTTGTGTGAATAAAAGTACAATTGTGCAGTTTTTGTTTCCCAAATTTTCATTAAGAATTGATGGGGGAATGTTTCACTTGTTCTTCCTTCAGGTTTACTGAGGACTCTAACAGTACTAGTACCCCTACATGGTATCTTAGTTGAATAATTTTTTTGAAGCCAGGGAAGCCACACACATACACACACACACACACACAGGCAGCGATGGGGCTTTTAAAAAGGACAATGATTAGCTGGTTTGGCTCAGTGGATAGTGGGCCTGTGGACTGAAGAATCCCAGGTTTGATTTCGGTCATGGGCACATGCCCAGGTTGCCGACTGGATCCCCATTCTCATCATTAATGTTTCTATCTCTCTCTTCCTCTCTGAAATCAATGTTTTTAAAATGGGCAATGGAAATGATAAAGCCGAACAAGCAAATGAAAGAAGATCAAATCCAGCAAAACTGCTAATGCAGGAAAACAGGCAGCTAATCAATGAAAAGTTACATGTTCAGGCTGAAAATAAACTCTTGCTGGAATAACTGACCAACAAAACTGAGTATAGAAGGCAACTTCAGAAGCTGTGAAACAACTATGTACAAAAAAAAGTGGGGAGATTGAACGAAGGAGACAAGAGTTAGCCTTCAGCCGAAACCGGTTTGGCTCAGTGGATAGAGCGTCGGCCTGCGGACTGAAAGGTCCCAGGTTCGATTCCAGTCAAGGGCATGTACCTGGGTTGCGGGCATATCCCCAGTAGGAGATGTGCAGGAGGCAGCTGGTCGATGTTTCTCTCTCATCGATGTTTCTAACTCTCTATCTCTCTCCCTTCCTCTCTGTAAAAAATCAATAAAATATATTTTTAAAAAAAAAGAGTTAGCCTTCAAATATGCAGAGCAAACTGAGAGCTTAAAACAGCTCTTGGAGAAGGAAAAGAGTCCATCCAATTTGAAGCAGCAGTTGCTGGCAATGAGGGATATCACTATTAAAGGAGAAACAGGAAGAGAAAAAGCCCACAATGAGAGAGGTGTAAAGGCGCAGGAAATCCAGGCCCAGTTCCTTTAGGAAAAAAGCATTACTGGAGAAACAACGGAGTGAACCAGACAGAAGGCTGTTGGGAAAGAGAAAAAGTTTAAAAGGCAGGCCCAGGCCTTGGAGGTGGTAGCAGAGGGGCGTACTTCTGAGTTCTACTGTGGCATCTGCGGAGAACCAGCAGTCACAGAGGGAATAACTGCAGCGATCTCAGCAATGCCAGGAGTCGCAGGTGCTCAAAGCCTGCTAAAAAGTCAGAAGCAACAGCTGCAGCAGGAACAGTGGTGTATGGAGAGCTTAAGGGAGGCAACTACTGCAACAGGGTGCCCCGAAAATCACAAGAACCCTTTCCCTGGGACCCCAAATCAAGGTTAATCCACAGTAATTCCTAAATATCACTGGTTAAGGACTAGAGAAGTATTCCTTAGGTGCTGCACAAACCTGGTTAGGAAGGCTTTTGGGTCTCGTTGCTATGGTAGAATATCCATCAAGACATGTTAGTGTGGAGGATTAGATGCTCTTTTCCAGCCATACTACTAGATACTTGTGTGAACCAGCTTTCCTTAGATTTTTAATTAGCTCTTGTTAATAAGGGTGTTCCTCAAACCTCCAGATAACCTAACACCATTTGCCAGACACTCATATGTAAAACCAGGTTGAGAAAACCACCTTGAGGAAGTGAAAGGAAATAGTTGCATGATTTATTTCATCTAGCTGAGTCAGATTTCTTTATAGAAAAATCACCTTCAACCCTAACCGGTTTGGCTCAGTGGATAGAGCGTCGGCCTGCAGACTGAAGGGTCCCAGGTTTGATTCCGGGTGAAGGGCATGTACCTTGGTTGCGGGCACATCCCCAGTTGGGGGTGTGCAGGAGGCAGCTGATCGATGTTTCTCTCTCATCGATGTTTCTGACTCTATTCCTCTCCCTTCCTCTCTGTAAAAAAATCAATAAAATATATTTAAAAAAGAAAAATCGCCTTTCAGGATAGCATCTCAGATTGACTTTTCAGAGCTTTCTCCTCTGTAAACAACCAATCTAAGTTTATCCTCGTTCCTTCTGGCCAACTCAGAACACAAAGGCAGTGTTTTTAAGGTGTTTTTTTTAAGTTTGTGCCAATGACCAGGTAGCTCCTATAGTTTTCATGAGGGAAAAAGTACTCTAATAATAGCAAGATCAACACTTTGCAGAGTGACCTATTGTCTGATGCAGCCCTTAACAATTTTAGCTTTTGAGTGATTTGAGAAAATAAGGGAACATATATCAGCTTTTACTTTTGAAAATGTTTATTGTGAAGAAATACCTCAAGAATTAATGAGGTAGCAGAATGCCTCTGCTTGTTTTAGGAAAATGTTATCAAAACACAGTTTTTAAATATTTGGATAACTTTTAAAGTCTCATGCCATCTATTTCCCTAGCAACATCCTAAATCCTAAGATGATAAGTAAAATTACTTAGTGTTAAATATAGTAAGTACTATATATATTTTCTTACTATATATGCACTTAATAATACATTAAATGCTGTAATTATTATGTGCCATATATTTAGGCCTATTTAATAGAACTGGGAATAGTATTTTAAATTACTGTAGACATTTAGGATAGGTGTTTTTTTGTTGTGGGTTTTTTTGCACTTATGATGGTTAGATCAGTGATTTTTTTGAATGCTGAATCCTAATAAAACCTCTTATTTTAACATTGCTCCCCTATGAGAAGATATAATCAACTTTGTTCTCCAGAAATTATCAGTAATAAAAAAACTTAAAAAATAATTTTCTTGAATTTAGTCTTATTTATATGTAAAATGGATTCCTTTAAATTGGTTAAACAAAGGTCTCTCCCTCAATGTACCTTTAACTTCTAGCTTTAATAATGTTTCTGCTAAGTATGTAGTTTATTAAACAAGTTTTGTTGTTAAAAAATAAAAGCCTACTTGGATTATAATTTACCCACTGATTTTATTATTGTTCCAATGTTTTTTACTTCATCACTTTTCTCTCATTACTTCTGCTGTCGTATACTACTATGTATGCAAATAATAAAACTGGAACTTTAATGCAGAAGACTTTAGATAACATGCAGTACCTTAAACTGAATACTTCAATTCATGAGTTGAAAATACAGAAAGATGGCACTTGAAAAGCATGGTATCCAAGATAAATTTGAAACCTTAGTCTCTCTGGATGCAAAAACCCTAGGAAAATATATACCCAGGCTGATGAGATATTAGACTCTTTACTCTTCTGCTCTTAATTCCCCTCCTGCCATTGCTGACTCAATTATCTAACTCAGGAGTGGAGAACTTCTATCTCATCTCAGTTTAGTTTTAATTCCTATGGGCAAACTTTTTGACTCGAGGGCCACAATGGGTTCTTAAACTGGACCGGAGGGCCGGAACAAAAGCGTGGATGGAGTGTTTGTGTGAACTAATATAAATTCAAAGTAAACATCATTACATAAAAGGGTATGGTCTTTTTTTTTTTAGTTTTATTCATTTCAAACGGGCCGGATTCGGCCCGCCGCCGTAGTTTGCCCACGGCTGTCCCAGATAGTGAATCTGGTGTTCTGTTCTCACATCAATCTCTCTCCCTTTCTCTAAAATCAATTAAGAAGAACAAAGAGTGCCTATAAGGGCGTGGCATGAGATTGGGCAAGTTTCCTATACTTAATTCAATTTAATCTCAAATTATTCATTTTAGCCAGCAGATTTTTGAGGCTTAAGAACTGAGATAATTGCATTTGGTACTTATTTCAAACTCACTCCACTCCCTAGCCTTCTTATCCTATATGCTGTATCAGCAAGGAGTCAAATACAGACAGTCCTCGGGTTATGTCGGACTCGACATACGTCATTTCGTGGTTACGTCGCCATCTCCTATTTATTTTATAATAAAAAAAAATGTTCCGTCATTTTGACGTATGTACATATGTGATTTATGTTTTTTATTATTTATTTACCACAAGGTCAGGAATTATCTTTCTTTTAAATTTTTTTTTACTGTTTCACTTCATTACTGCTGTGTATGTGCCCACGTGAGTGACGTAGGTGCTTATGTAGGTGGGTTCCGACTGACGGCAAAAATCGCGTTATGTTGCGCAGTAGGAACGGATCTCCGATGTAACCCGAGGACCTACTGTAGCAGGTTGGAGTCAATGAACACTAGAAACATCAATCTAACAGTCATTTATTTCTTTTGTCATTGCCAAACATTTCCCAAGTCTTACCAGAAATTAATATAGCTTCTTCATTTCTTCTCCCTGACAATCCTCATCTACTGAAAGGGCTCTAAGAGCACAACTGCAAATGACAATGTACAGCGGATATACCATGTCCTTCACTTATTTCAAAACATCTAACAGCCCATTAGACATCAGCTAGGCATGAGGTACAGAAAAAGAATTTTTCTTTCCAACTCCAGGTAAATATCAATATCTGGTGTCAAAGTCTCAGGATTAAAGACGATAGAACACACATAAAAGAGGATAGACAGCAATATTCTCAGAAAATTCAGACAGGTTGACTAAAGGGAGGGATGAGGACTTAGTGGGGTGTAGACTAGCAAGTGAGGTCAAGTCCAGGAGAGAAGGAACGAGTGTCTTGGCTACCGATCTAGTGGCATTACCAGGAACACTAGGATTCTGTATCAAAAAATCAGGGGCAATCAACCTGGTTATTTCTCAATCCTTAGAACCAAGAGGGCAAAACAAACCTCAGGAGGGCACCAATTATAACGACAGATGAGGAGGCCTCAAGCCACAGGAAAGTTGAGGCAGTATTTATTGCTTCTTCTAGTTTCTTCTTTCCAGCCACTTCAATGTTTGGTACATACTAGTCCTAAGGCTGCTTTTTTATGCCTGTGGGTCTAGTTAGTCACTGCTACTTGGGGCAGACAAAACACTTCCCAGCAGAATTAGTGTAGGGAAGTTCTAGCTTTTTCATTCTAAACCCAGTTCTTTCTTTCAATCCTAAAACCATATTGAGAACAACCTCCATAAAGTTTGTTTCCCAAAGAGGGTAATGTTATTCTAGCTTCTAGGCTTGTTATAGCACAAATACAAAATGATTTATCAGTATGGTTTTAAAAATGTAATGTGGAATTGTTTTATAAACTTGACGATGGAGACTACTAAATCAATAGAACTTCCAAGAACATTCTACACCCCAGGAAGAAAAGAACAACCAGTTTTCTTAGTCTTGTACAAGGCAAGAGGGGCCTATGGTTGGCCTTAAGAGGGAGCTCTTTGGGCAAGATAAGAGAAAAATAATAGACTCCAATGAGGAATAGCAGGAAAACCTACCAAAAAAGGGTTGGGGAAGGGAGGTTGTCAAAGTGAGCAAGTAGGGAAAGCAGTGAAATTTATACAGGAGGAAAGAGTTGAGAAAGTTGTAGCTTTTCACAAACAACTAAAAGAGGACATTTCTCTTCACGCAGCCCCATAACTCAGTCCTCCAGCACAGGTCCCCGTGACAAGAGCATCCATCCACTCTCCGAGGAGCGCTCTCACTCTGACTGCCTATTTCCTTCCTCGTTTATGATTAGCCTTTGGGGGCTTTACTTTCTGGAACTGTGCTGGCACTGGTTCCTGCTCTGGTTCTTTACAGGAGGTCGACACTAGCAGTTCCTCGTTATTCCTCCTCTGATCTTTCCCTGCTCTAAGGCTCAGCTCTGCTGGCTCAGGAAGCTCCATGCCAGCCTGCTGCCGCCTTCTCAGAGACCTCCTGCTCCTGTGCTGCTGTCTCCGCTTTTCTTCTTCTTGCTGCCGCTGCTTTATCTTCATCAGCTTTTCAAAGCTTTTGGTTGTTGCTGGGTTTACAACAAACCAATCCTACAAGGCAAAACAGAAACACTATCCAGTCAAAACATTCTGGAAAGCATAAAGAGGTGTGGGAAGAATTTAAAAAGGCATGGTTAGGGCAAAACACAGAGTTTTTTAGTTTTTTATTTTGAAAATTTACAAATCTTCAGAAAAGTTATTAATTTAATGAACACCTAGATTTATCATTGTTCACCTCTCTCTCTTTTCCTTCCTTCCTTCCTTCTTTTTGCTGAACCATTTTGCAAGTTAGTTGCAGACATGTTACTTCATCCCTAAATACTTCAGCATGTATTTGCCTAAGAACAAGGGTGTTCTTCTGCATTACTACAATGATCACATTTTGAAATATTAACATGGGCACATTGCTATTATTTAATATAGTTAATATTCAAAATTCCTCAATTGTCTCAATGTCCTTTATATTTGTTTCTATGCAGTATTTAATTTATTATTTTCTCTTAATATGTTTTTATTGATTTCAGAGAGGAAGGAAGAAAGAGATAGAAATATCAATGATGAGAGAGAATCATCAATCAGCCAGCTGGGCTCCATGAGGTATTTTAAGTA